GGGTGCCGTGTTTTTTCGCACGCTTTCCAGATGAAACAGCACGTACATACACCTGACCACATATTCACGCAGCCCATGTAAAGCCCGTCAAGAGATCCTCTACTTGGAGGGTCAGGGGAACTTATAGCCCATATAGTAACCCTAGCTATCCCCCTTATGAACTTACTTACTTACTTCCTTACTTACTTACTAACTAAGCCCCCCGGACCCTAAACCCCAAATAAGAGAATCGTTTCAATTTTCTGTTCCAGTATTACGAAGTCCTGCATAAGACCAAGTATATTGAGAACCTGCTCAGGTGCTGAGCCTTGCCCTGACATGTCTGAAGAGGGCTGGAGGGACAGTTGGCCGTGCACAGGCGACGAGGAGTGATTGCGTGAGCGTAGGAATGGAACCTGCAAAGGCCGGTTTCTGGTGGGTTGGGGCATTTGCTGAGAATTCCATAGACTGGGAGGGGTGACTGCGAGGTGTAGGCGTGTATTTACCTTCAATAAATTCCGGAGTTCGGGCCGAACTTGCACAAGCAGTCAAGGAGCCAGAGCAATGTTTTGGTGCTGCAGACTAAGAAAGTTCTGAAGCCTGCTTGAGCTGGGGTGGCCAACGTTGCTATGCCAGGCCCCCGATGGACCCATGTCTTTGCAGGGAAGGTTTGGTAGTGCATGTGCTGTCGTATTCAGAGCTGGCATTGTTCGGCAGATTTACTTTCGAATGCTGTGGCAGGAATGGCGGAAATAGCGGCTCGCACGGCTGCGCACTTCCAGAGCGCCACCAGCAACACATCCAATCAGTCCGGAGTTTAGCTATCATAGTCATGATCCTGGGCATCTTCGGGATACTTTTTACCACACGGTCTTTGAATCTCCCATCTGCTGAAGAATTATTTTGCAATTTCATTGTAGTAAAACCCCAAGGAGCCACTAAATAAACCCTACTTGCAGGGTCAAGGGGGAGTTAGTTAAGAAATAGCCTCTATAACCCATAAGGTAACTATAGTTGTCCCCTTATCAACCTACTTACTTAGTCCCCCGTAAGCTCCTCCAAGTAAACCCTTCAGAAATGCCGGCAAGAGACGTGTGCCACTTCAACCGGGGGATGCGCAGCTCATGGCGCCCGATCTTCGGGGAGATGGATGGGCTCTGCATCAGGCGGTTCCGTTAGAGGTTTTAGAGGTTTTTGGGGTTTAGGGTTTAGGGGGCTGATGGCTGCAACCCCGTAGACCTATGATCCTTGAGGTTTAGGGTTCAGGGTTATGAGGGTTTTTGGATTATGGTATCCTATAGTTGTATAGGATCCAACTTTTTTTTTCATACCAGGGTTTAGAGTCACGTTGGGAGATTTTCAGGGACGATTTTTGATGCATCTCCAGGCAGTTGCGCTGGAAAGATGGTGTGTTAGCTTGAACCTAGGTTGCACTTTGGGATCAGTAATACCTTCCCCTGCGGCGGTATAAGGGATCCTATTTATAAAGAAACTGGGGGCCTTTAAAGTACCACCCAGGAAAGATCTGCAGCAATTCCGTCGACTCGTCATGCAGGCAGTGTCTGAGGGTGTGATTCAGCCACACGAGAGAGACATGTTCGATGCTGCGGATTTTGTTGTTGGGCCATCGGTTTACACAGTCACTGATCAGTTCATAAAGCCAGTGACAGCGGCCGCCGGGAAAATGAGCTGGGGTCTGTTCAAAAACGCCGCTGGCTTGAAGTGCAACTGGCTCCAGCACAAATACTCTGATTTGTGGGAAATAGTAATACTGCGTTTAGGGTTCAGGGTTGGAGGATTTTTGCATTCTTAACAGGTGTCTTCGCAAAGCAATCCTCCTGACACAGCATGGGACTCCGATCATCCGTTTTCAGGTTCCCGATGGAAGCTCACCAGGCTACCTTCATTGGACACACTCCCATCTCCTTGCTCCCCGCATGTGGACCCTCTTCTGACGTAGTAAGTGGGGCTGTTTGAAAATTGGGGCCCACTTCTTGGAAAGGCTTTACTATGATGATTGTACAGACAGACCTTGGTTTGTGGAATGTACCTCATGCACCTCCGGGTCGCTAATCCCATTTACTGGAATTATTCGGGTTATATTGGGGTAATATCGGGGTTATATTAGGGCTATATTGGGGTTACACTAGGGTTATATTGGGAGCCTCCACGCAATCACCCAGGTGATGTCTTCGTAACGCATTGCTGGGCGGAAGGCATCTATGAGTTCATCGACCGGGTAGAGGGTGCATGGCCACGTGGTGCCAAAGGCGCTTATGTTTCTGGGTTGGCAATGAGATATGGTGTTTAATCAAAACCGGTGCAGTTTTAGCTGCAGAACTTTTTTGCGAGTTGTATCGGCTTTGTCGGTTTCTGGGATTGTTTTTGTACGAGATTGCAGGATTTCTAAGATACTTTTGTTACACAGTCTATGGCTAGTTTCATACCTTCGCCCCTTTCACCCCAAGGATTTTGAGGTGCACTTCTCTCACAAAGAAATGCAACAGACCAGAATATCAAACGTGTTATGCAGACGATTCCTACTCAAACCCGGTACATTGGCACGGTCACCGCTAGAAGAGGTCTGCCTTCGTAGGCCACGCTTTGCACCTGGATACCATAATCGTTCCTAAATGATTTCCTCCTGAGGCCCTTACACCCCTTCCAATGCATCTGCTGCTCAGGCGAATCAGAATTAGCCTTTGCAGGAGGCAGAAATCTCTAGCAAATTTGGAACGTCAGGGCCAGAGCCCAAAAAGGTGGATTGTCCAGAAATGGCCGGATCCTATTCAGAACCGGCCTTCTCTGAAGAAGCGGAAATTCTTTGCAAATTCGAAGGTTTTCCTGTGATTTCAGAGTGCTTGAAAGCACAAGGTTTTCCAAAGAACCCAACCTCCCTTTACACAAACACACCAATACAGTGCAAGCCTGGGTTGTTTGGCGTGGGATTTAGGGTTTAGGGCTTTGGCCCTACCCACTTGCACTCCGGACGCACTAAGCCCTCAAGACGTAACCCGCATGTCTTTACGGTCGACTAAGGTTTGTTTCCTCTCGAACCCGCAAAACCTGGACATTGCAGCTGGATTGTATTGGGTAGTTTGCACAAACAGTTTCTAAAGAGAATCTCTAATTTTGGCCCGCTGTTCATATACCTGATATATATCCTGTGTAATCCCATATCCCTCAGACAGCCCCTGTAGAGTCCGTGCAAATTGTGTAGGCCTAAAGCCTAGGCCCGAGATCCCTAAAGCCCAAGCTCCTAAACCTGTAAACCCTGAAGCTAACCCTACGAGCTTGAAACCTGAAGTCGTAAATCCCTAGGGCTGAAAGCTTTAAACTTTAAACCAAGACCCCTAAAATCTGAAGCCTGGGACATTCATTGTGCAGGCAAACCTGATTGCACGCCCCATTGAATCGCCCTTTGCTCTGGCCTTACGTAACTGGGCCAGTGAATTTTTGGATTCTTTTGAGGGACATAGACTGTATGCCTTTTTCACCACATTTGGATCCCAAATCAGAAGCCCTCGGAACACATACGCATATCTGTTTTCTAGGGGACCCAAGTGAGCTCAGGCCAGTCGTCTACAGTTCTGGTTGCTCCTAACCGAAAAGTCTCCATCTACAGTCGCCTCTGGTGCCAGTTTTTCCTAAAGCCTTGAACCAACAACCCTATATACCATCAGTTTCCCAAGAAGCTTAGGGGGCCCCCAAAAATGGCGTCGGTAAAGGCACATGTAATTTTGCACGGGAGCCTCTGACCGCTGGAAGGTAGCGTAAGGTTAGGGTGGAGGGTCAGGGCTTAAGGTTTACCGTTCAAGGTTTGGGGTTTACGGCCTGTTCAAGTCAGGCAAAGCTCAAAGTGTAACTATTCCTCGTGCCCTTCCACTCCAGGCAAGGGCCCCGTCAATAGCAGGGCCTTGTTGCAAGGATGCATTCTTAGACTGTCGCCCTTTTTGCAACGCCCCAGGTGTGTCTACAAAGCCTTCCTGGCATATTCCTGGGGAAACTGAAGTCTCCTCGGAGTTGTTTTTCATTCTTCTTTATAGTATAACCCTAAGGAGTTGTTAGAATAGAATCTTTACCTACAGTTCTAGGGGGCTACAGGAAAGACCATCAAAACAGCCGAGCTGCACACAGGCTTTTGGAGGTATGTTGTTCGGATGGCATGCTTGCACCTCGCTCCATTTGAATCTTCGGAGGTTCGGGGTAAACCTTAAACCCAGTTGCCATTCTAACCTCAAGTGCCTCCTTAATTAATTTCCTCAGTGAGAATACTTGACTTGTCGATGTGCTAGAAGGGTATGTAGAATATCATTACTTACAATTACCGTGAACCTTTAATCTTGCTCCCGAATCTTCCGCAACTACCACGGTCACTGCCAATCAAGCTTCGGAAGCCGAGAAGTTCCCTGAGCTTGGTGTGTGAACCCGGAATAACCCATTACAGTGGTTTCCATTTTCTTTCCATTATCCCCATATAACCCCAATAGAACCCCAATAGCCCCAATAGAACCCCAATATAACCCTAATATTGCCCATATTCTAAGCAGTAGCCTGCGCGAGGTATTTGACATCAAGCGGAACAATATGGTTGCTACTCATGGAAGGAAGAAGAGTTCGAGTTCATACCCTTCTGACTCTGACGGTTGTCCTGACTCCCGTTGGATGTACCTTGCCGATAGCATTCAACCCCAAGTAGGGCAAGAAATGCTTGATCGAGCTATCCCCCATGTTTCCTGAATAGTTACGGTGGACACTCCCCCCCCCCCCACAGACCCTATTCCAAAGTTCATGGCCCATGCATGAGCGCCCAAACCCGATTTTAGTCTGGACTCAAGTCTTGACCTGATCCAGGTATTCTTTATTTCCTTCTGGCACGCCCGCTCCTGTACCTGGGAGTTTGCCTCCCCATCTTGCCGGCATTCAACATACTTTTTGCCTTGGGTCTCAGCTCGGTTTTTTCGACCTTGTTCTTCATGGATGAAGACTCCACAGCATCTTCGACATTTGGATGGCTCCTTATGTGGGCCTGGGGGTTGCTTCTCTCCACCTGTGCGGAAGCGGACTGGCTCTTGAAGGCAGATGCCAATAGACGCAGTGGCTACCTCCGAAAGGGATTTTCAGGGCGGCTACTGGATGCCGGATGTTCATCGAGCTCAGACAAGGAAAACATCCACAAGGAAATTTTTGAAAGCGGCAAGCTGCATGAGGTGGAAGCAGCTGTGAGGGTGGGAGCTTCTGAAAGCCATCCTTGTGTAATCCTGAAAGGGCACCCTGGCATTACCCTTCTAGCCTGCCCGATATGGCATCCTTGCTTTGACCCAGGTGTTGTTGCGCATGAACATTGTGACAGGGGAGCTCCAGCGCACTGCAGCCAAAACTGGGCAGCTGGGAGATGTCTCGCGCTACAGTCATCTATGGGTTATTGTTGGCCTCTTCGGCTGGGTCGTGATACCTCCTCTATTGTTTCAGCGAGCAGAGCTCCTGAAGCTGGTGATGCTCGTGGCTATGCCTTTGCAGGGATGCTTGTGGATACTGGGCTTCATGTTTGCGTCTCAAGGCAGGAAGAAGTTTGCTGCTCTCAGCCTTCAGCTTTGGTTGCTGGACCCTCGGGATTGTCGACTGACATTCTACATTTCTATGTAGACGGAAACCCAATCAGGAACAGGAATGATCCTGTTTCCCCACCCTGAACCTTGGACCCTAAACCAGGACTGGTTGTGGCTCATGACTTCGCCTTTGTTTCTTCCTGGAGATGGGCCAGTCTTGTGGTACATGGTCTTTGGATCTCTACTCTTGGGCCCTTTGTGCCTGGTGTTCTTGTTCGCTGGGCCTTACAGGGTCGCTTGTGTCCCTTGTGTAGGGCCCCTGGTGGTGCAATGTTTTCTTGGAAGAGACTGGGGTATGTTTGAAACTCGTTTCACGTATTTGGGTCCTATGGTCCTAGAACCCCTCTGCAACTCATGACACGAGCAAGTTTTATGGCGCCCCCGAAATCGAAATCCACCCCAGGACATTGCTGTTTCTGTGGGCGCAGAAGAACTGCAGCGCCGCAGTCAGCATTTCCGAAAGACATCTTTCCAGACCTTGACGTTGAGGAAACGCACGTGTCCATATGAGGTACTGTTAATACCAGGGTTATGATGGGACTACTCAGGGTGGACGAATATACTCCCTAGAAAGGAGCCATGGCCATACTAGTACACACAGGTGTTAAGAATTATTGACAGTGGTTCATATAGGAAAGACAGTAACATCGTAGCCCGCATCTTCGTTTGGCATCCGGCAGAGTGGGAAGTGAAGCAGGGACGCACTCTAGAGGCTGAGATCAATCCTTGAAATCTTCTAAACCCTAAACCCTCAACTGCATTCTCAAGCCCTGGGCCTTGCCAAAGCCCGAAAATCCTCTCCTTGCAAGTGAGGAAAATGGCCAAAGTTTCATTATACAAGCCGGTAGTGGAAGGCCCAAGGCCTTGTCCACCATACCAAAATAGACTGTCATAAGCAATCTTCGGCCTTTCCGTTTTGGAGCGCCAGCAGTACATTTCGCAGCACCTTGTGGAGCCCGTTTCAGCCAGTGGAAGGCCCAAGGCCGTACCCGCTTTACCAACGCAGACCGTTGCAAAACTTGGGAGTGTTCCTTTTGGAGTGGTAGCGGATTTCTCAGGCCTACTCTGTAGCCTGAATCAACGCACCAAATCCTGGGTTGCTGCTGAGGAATTGAAAAACCGATACAACAAAAATCAATCGTAGTAGACCTTTGTGTCCATATTGTGGTGCTCTGAGCCCTCAACCCATTTTATGGTAACTTGGTTTAAGTTCGTCCTTAGCACTCACCCAGAATTTTTAGAGTCTCAGAGTCGTGAGCAAAACCTGCCCGGATCTAGTTTGGAGCACCTGCAACCCCCGTTACCTTCATTTTTATGAGTTTTGCCTTTTAAGTGTAGGTAATTCGGGCTACAGGTAGGGTTCAGAGAAGATGAAGCGTGCTCTATGCTTGAATTGAGGTTGCAAGGGGGGGAGAAGCAAGTCTAGAAGGCCAAAGGCCACCCTACTTGGAGGGTCTTATGGGAGACTTAGTAAGACTGGAGAAGAACACGGAAGCTACTATATTGGCTACGGCTTAAGGTTCAGGGTTTAGGTTAAGACTTAGGGTGTAGGGTTAGGGCTTAGGGTCATGAGGACGTAGTAAGTAGGTCAATAAGGGCGAAAGCTAGGGCACTTATATGGGTTATGGGGATGACTAGCCTGCTTACCAAGTTCCCCATATGACAACCTCCAAGTATCCATCACACCCTCCCTCTTCCCAATCCCCAGCTTTAGCCATCTGCCAGGTGGTGGAGGAGCAGCGCTACCGAAGTGTGCCCCAGAGTGAGCTAGACCGGTTGGACAAGATCGAGCCGGACGTTGACGAGGCGTGGGGCTTGGAACCTTCAAATGGGATATTGAAGCTCCATACCGGTTCTAAAGGGATAATGGCAAAGAAGCTACTGTTTGGGGTTTAGGGTACTGCAGCGATGAACGGAGTGAGGGCGTAGGGAGGCGAGATATAGTTATGCAGGATCATGCAGTCGTACTGATACTTTTTCAGCCGTGTGCTGTTGTTTTTCTGAAGAGCAGTATGGCATCGGCATCTTTGTCGGGCCTGCCGGGCTCGCAGACTTTTGATGGTTTGGCGTCTGCTTCTGGAGCTGCGGGATTTGATTTGGTCCTAAAAACCTGCCCCTCATGCAGGCTCAGTACGCGGTTTAGGATTTAGGGCTGGGGGTTTAGGGTACATCTGCTTGCCGTCAGGGTCTTTGCCTCTGAAGCTTGGGGCTGTTGGCACATCGTAGACAAGAAATCTGAGAGGTTTCGATTCCATCTCATGAAGCGGCCCCGTGATTAGTTCTTGGCCATTTCTGGGATGGGCTTGGAGGTTTTGGAGAAGTCGGGGCATTTTAGGCTTCAGGTTTTAGAGATTGGGGTCAGGGTTGCAGGCTCAGGGTCCAGTCCATTTGCAAAGCCCCATACACGCTGTTATGAGACTTTTTCCTAAACTTCCGTAGGCCGCTGATTTCTTTTGTCCCCGGCATGAAGGACCCCCAAATCCTAAGCGCTAAGCCTGAAACTGCATGAGATCGCGAGGCAAATGCCATGCTTGTGGAGTCTTTTCTCAATGTGAAGCGCTCCTTAGGAGCAGAGGCCCCTGGAGCAAGGGAGTTAGGGATAGGGAATGTAACAGGGGGAGGGGGTAGGATGCGGATTTTGTAGTGTATATATATATATATGGGGCTAGATAGGGATAATGGAAAGAGAATGGAAACAACTATAGTATAGTTACAGGTAGACTTGCTGTTGTGGGTGTATGGGTTGGAGCTCGAGATTTCTGGGCTTGGGGCATAGAGCTTCGTGTTTGGGGTTGAGGCCTTGGATTTAGGGTCTGCCTCAGCCCATGCAGAAGCCACTACATCCTAAACCTAACATCCTAAACCTAAAATCCGAAACCCTAAGCCGTAAACCTTAAACCTGAGACCTACTACCCTAAGGCCCTAAACGCTAAACGCTTCGTCTCTTGCTCCTCTGTCCCTGAGTTGGAGGATGCAGAGCTCCAGGTGTTTTTGTGTCAGTGAGCTGGGATGCCAACAATGCATAGGGATTATAGGGTTTATGTAGAGATTAATATGTGGGGTTACATGGGGATAATGGAAAAGACAATGGAAACTACTATATTATGATCTATGTGATTAGTGTGTAGACCTCAGGGTCTAGGGTTTGCAGGTGACGGGGTCTAGAGGGACAGCTTGTTCGAGTGGTTCAGGCTCTTGGGGTGTTTGCATTTGGGAGAGTTCAGAGGAACATGTAGGATCTGGGTAGATGTGGTTTGTTCAACTCGGGATTCTCTTGAAATCTTTCCAACCCAAACTCTATAAGTGTGGCGCCTGGAGGTTTACCCCCAAGACAGCTCGAAATTTTCATGGAGCTTGACCTTCCTGATTTAATCCTTATCCTAGTAGTTTCCATTTCCTTTTCATTATCCCAAGATAACCTCTACATAACCCCAGTATAACCCAAAAGGGGCTTAAAGTTAAACAGTTACCGATACTAAACCCTAACGTATGGGATTCCAGGCCTCGAAGTTGACAGTAAAACAGATTTGAAAGGTGTTACCTACTTCGAAGAATTGCATTACAGGGATTCCCTTCGCCAAGCCCGGTGGCCCATATTTTCCTAAACAATCCCACTTTCCATTCTTCATTTCCCGTGCAATTTTCTTTGCCATTTGATTCTGCATAATTGGTGCCCTAAACCCTAACTTCTTTTCCATTATCCTTGTATGCTCCAAATATAGACTTACAGAACTCCCCGTCCCTTGATCACCAGGCACCGTCTGAATCACAGCGGGAGCCTTCCCGGCCCCCTCCTCATTCGTGGCAGGAGGGGCTCCAGGGTTTAGGGCAAGGGTATAAATTAATGATAGAAACTCAGATGAAAAAGAATATAACATGAAATGGAAACTGGGCTTTGTTCCTGCCAGGAAATTTGAGGGCTGCCATTCAAGAGATCATATAGGTATCCAAGGGAACAAAAAGATGTTGCCCTACGTGAATCACGTCCTAGCTTTCTCCACAGCCTCACTTATCATGGCCTCCTTTAGCCCAATGATCCTCAGAATCTCATCAAATGTGCTGGGTCAGGAAGCACACCTAGATCCTAAACCCCAAGCCTTGAATCCTAACCCCTAACCAGTTCTCATTTTACTTTTCATTTTCTTTTCGATTATCCCCAGATAACCGTATATAACCCTGATATAATATTGTAGTTTCCATTTTCTTTTCCACATGATTCTCCATTCTTGGGGCAAGCCAAGCCTTGATGGTGCTGCGTGGGGCATTGGAGAAGGTATTCCTGCGATCAATATGGCAATTGATTCCGTCATTGCTTGCTGAGCACCTGGACCCTAAACCTTAAACCTCCTTCTAGAGACAGCAGGGTCTTTGAAGTCCTCATGGACGGGGTTTCTTTGAAAGGCCTAAGGCAAGTACAGAGCAGGGCTTCCCGTTGCCAAGAGCCAATCTTTAAGTCGGCACGAAGCCCTTCCCAAAACGGCAAACGGTACTTAGAGGGTGGGGGGGACTTAGTAAGTAGGTTAATAAGGGGGATGGCTTGGGTTACTATATGGCATCTTGGTTTTTTTAGCCTACTTGCAGAGTCCCCCATATGAGATCCTCCAACCCTAAAGCCTCAATCCCAAATAATACAGTAAAGATAGGGTCGTAGGAGAGGGATAAAGTTTGGCTATTGGATAGAGATTACTACGCAGAGATATTTTCCAGAATGCTGGTGAGCTAACCTTGAGCGGGGAATCTTTGGTCCGAACGTAGTTTACGGCCAAGTAAACAGAGATGTGAAGCATTTCCTGGATGCTGCGCCAATGCGCACCAGACCATGACTTGCCTGGCCTAGGCAAAGCCATGCAGTAGTTTTCATTTTCTTTTCTATTCCTTACTAAGTCCCCCTGACCCTCCAAGTAAGCCGTCATTTCCATTCTGAAGCCTGAGGCCTGGACTGACTCGAAAGTATTAATTCAGTGTAGGGCATCTTTCACTGGGTTCATATAGGGGCTAGACAGAGGTTATATAGGGTTTAGAAAGGAGGCATATCTCTGATTTAAGATTTAGGAGCTTTGGCTTGTTGACGTGGAAAGGTTCAAGGAGCAATGTTGCGCCCAATCCTTCTTTCATTTGCAAACCTTCCAGCATAAAACGCCACAAGCCCGTGCATGCCATAACTTCAAACCCAATAGCTCATGGCCCCCGAAACCCTGATCCCTAAACCCCAAACTTCACTCGGGAATTCCTTGTCCTTGAGCTCCCCTCAACCCTACACGCTAAACCCTCTCAGATCCTATGACGACGACGACGACGACGACGACGATGATTATGATGACTACGACGACGACGACTGCTATTTCACTTATTCTTCCCTTTACAATCACTATACTTGCTTACTATTCTGGTTGCCATTGCAATGGCTAACATAAGTATTACTCCGACCACAACCACAAATACTATTCCCATTAAAGTGACCATTGCAATTATCATTTTCACTATCGTATCATCATCATTTCTATGAGTAGTACTATTACAATAAGTATCTTGAAATGCAATTCCGATTTCCTAGTGCAACTGCTATTGTTAGTAAAGTCCCCCCAACCCTAAACCCTAAAACATGTTCTGGAGCCCTGGCAGCCCTAGGTCTAGTGCCTCTCGTCCTGCTCCGTTGGGCAGCGACGCTGGCGGGGGGCCCGGTTTGAGGAGGTTTCAGAGGAGGGATGTAGGGTTTGGGGTTCAGGGTTTGGGATGTACGGGTGTGCATTTAGATTTGAGGTACGGGGTTGGGATTGAGGGGTGGGGGTTTAGGTACAACACATATTGGGATTCGGAGTCAGGGTTCATGATTGAAGGACGGGGATTTGAGCCTTAGCTCTCAAAAATTAAAGGACCGGAGAACCCTACATGTGTAGTGTAACCCGAATTTAAGTGGGATACTATCAGGATACCGTCGCCCGCCGAAATAAAGAAGAACAAGAAGCCAAGACAAAAACTGGGGAGATGATTCTATGAAAAGAATCTTAGGGGGGCACCCCTTGCCATGTGAGATTCGGGAACTTGATTCTCTGAAACATTTCAGGGGGACACCCCTTGCGATTTGAGATTTGGGGAGATGATTCTCGAAAAATCCCACGGGAACACCCATTGCGATTGAAATTTGGAGATTTGATTTTCTGAAAAATCTTAGGGGGACACCCCTTGCGTTTTGAGAACTGTGGACTTGATTCTCTGAAAAATCATTGGGGCACACCCCTTGCGATTTGAGATTTGGGGACTTGATTTTCTGGAAAAATCTTAGGGGGGGCACCCTTTGCGATTTGAGATTTGGGGAGATGATTCTCGAAAAAATCCTAAGCGGACACCCCTTGTGATTGAGATTTGGGGAGATGATTCTCGAAAAAATCCTGCTATGGGAACACCCCTTGCGATTTGAAATTTGGGGACTTGATTCTGTGAAAAAAATCATAGGGGTACGGGTAAGGGGCAAACAGTCTAACCGTAAAAGCGGAGAATTTGAAGGGTAAGGGGCAAACACTCTAACCGTAAAAACGAAGAATTGGAGGGGTAAGGGGCAAACAGTCTAACCGTAAAAGAATTTGAGGGGTAAGGGGCAAGCAGTCTAACCATAAAAGCGGAGAATTTTGAAGAGCAAGAGGGAAAGAGTCTAACCGTGACAGCGGAGAATTCGAAGGGTAAGGGGCAAACAGTCTAACCGCAAAAGCGGTGAATTTGAAGGGTAAGGGGCAAACAGTCTAACCGTAAAAGTGGAGAATTTGACGGGTCAGGGGCAAACAATCTAACCGTGAAAGCGGAGAATTCTGAAGAGCAAGAGGGAAAGAGTCTAACTGTGAAAGCGGAGAATTTGAAGGGTAAGGGTGCCCCGCACGGGAGCGCGATTTTCTTCAAGATTAACTGACGAAATTTCGAGGATGTCTCGAGCGAATTTTGAAGATACGAAGATGATCAAAACGTCAAAAAAATCGAATTGTCTCGCGCGGGAGCGCAATTTTGAACAAGCAAAATCGGGAATTTTGAGATGTTTTGTGTGGGAGCGCGATTTAAAAAACATGAGCGCCGTCCAGACCGGTTACGACCCCCCCGACCGGCAACGTTCTATATTTTTGTGATCGATTTTTGGAAAAAACGAGAGATTTTTTGAGGATGTCTCGAGGGAGAGCGCGATTCTTAAGCAAACATAGGCGCGTCCAAAATGTTTGCGCGACAGAAGAGCACGCTGCGGGTGCCAGGCGAGACACCGTACAAACTAGAACCCCGCAATGAATGTGGTGAATTAAAGTTTGGTTTGGGTTAGGGACGAGGATTCAGGTAGCCAGACTTTGGGTTCACTATTTGGAGAGCATTGGATCAAGTAGTATAGCCTTTCAGTAGAAGTTGTGCGGGATTGCAGACGGCGTTCGGGAACTTTAAAGAAAATGGCAACTACTGTTTAGGGCTTTGCATGTTAGGAATTGGGGTTTAGGGATTGTTAATTATGTTTAGGTCTCATGTGTCAGCTTTCGGCAATAGGGTTTAGGCTTCAGGGTCTGAGGCCTAGGAATCAAGGTTTAGACATTGGCAGCTTGAGTCTGAGGGATCACGTTTTCCAGGGTTTTTAGGTCAACGTTTAGGTTCAAGTCAACATGTAGCTTTGGAGGGTGTGGGAGGTCAAGAGAGTAGGTTTTTCTCAGGCGAAGGGTTAAGGTTTTGCTTAGGGCGTAGTGTTGAATGTAGGCTGAAGCTAATGGGGTTGGAGTGAGGATCTCCCCTAAGCCCTAAGACCCTAAAGCCCTTAAACTCTTGTTTGGGAAGCCTCGAGCGCCACAAGCTTCTGATGGAAAGTCGGGAACACAAGATTCTTTATTATGTGTAAGGTCTATGGTTCAGGGTGCGAGGATTGCAGTGGGGGGTGGGGAGTAGAATTCAAGGAGTTTTTGCAGTGCCTTGTCTCTTTGTGGGCTCCGTTTGCCCGCTATAGGGTCACTATAGAATTTCAGGCAAAAGGCAAGGGCCCAATATTTGTACGCATTCAACGTCTCCCAAACCCCTAATCCTAGATTCCAAAATTTCCAAACCTTCTAAACACAAAAGCTTGAAAACTGCGAAATCCTAACGGCTCAAAGCTCACTTCGAATCCCCAAACCCTAATCAATGGAAGGCTTAATCCGAAAGAGCAACCGCCAGCCCGAAACCCAAAACCTCAAACTCTAAACCCCAGAACCCCAACAGCCACCTTAAACCCAAAGCCCAAAAGCCTAAACCATAAACCGTGTCGTGGCTCAGGTGGGCTCCAGACCGTCGGCTATCAGGTTTGGCCGTTGTTTGGATTCGCTTTTTTTCCAAATGAGGGGTGCCTTGAAAGGCGGCTTATCGGGTTATACAGGGTTCAGGGCGTTGGGGTTTCTCAAAATCAGGGGTGCCTTTTTGGGGTCCGCACCGAATTTTGCGAAACTATCACTTCTGGCGATGAAGATTCTAGGGTTTCGGGGTCAAGGTTTCAGGTTTGAGGGATTAAGCTTGTAGTTGTAGCCTAAGAATTTCATCTCTGGGAGCTTCAACCTTGCAGCACGTCGTGCAGGGCTCCAGGGTTGATGGAGGCCAAGTAACTTGCATGGTTCAAAGTGTAGTGGTTAATGCTGATTCTGGAACGGCGTTCTCTGCTTCCAGCTTCGGCCTCCTTCAAGCGCGGAACCTCAACCGAATCTAGGTGCTGGCGCGCTTAGCGGCTCTTCACAGGGAGCATCATTTTGTCAGATGCTCCGGCTTCAGCCCCTTGCCTTGCAATCCTGGCACCGAATCTCGCCACCAAGCACAGATGATCCCATAGACCTCCGATCTTGTTCTGAGGCTCGTGAATCTTAATTTCCTGCGAAGCTTCTATGTCCTTTTTATGAGCAGGAACACACGCGGAAACTTGACGGTCTTTGCACGCAAAGTAGGCAGAACAAAATAACAACTACAATGTATACAGCACTCATAGTTGGCCATCGCACCTTGAACCATTGAACCGTTTTCTTGCACATTTCCGACTTTGCAAGATGAATACGATATAAGTTATGGTGGTAGCAAGTTGCATAGCATATTGCTGGAATCCGTGCTCAAGATTACAGCAGACATGTAAAGCTTAAGGCACCGCTCCTACACCCTCAACCCTCAACTCCAAATCCCCAATTCCGAAAATCGTAAACCCTAAGCCCTTGGACCTCATACCCCAAACCTTCCCTGCACCCCACAATCCGGCTTTTGTGTCTGAAGGTGCTTTGTGGCCTCCTGCCAGCTCCGCATCCACGGGATGCGCTGGAGAGCGCCTACTCGTGCAGCACCGGGGCTGGGCGAAGTGACGTCTAAAAAAAGTGGAGGGGGGATTGTAGGGATTCCATAGGGAGTTGCATGTGAGCCTTATAAGGGTATAGAGTTGCAGCCTAAGGTTTTCTCAAAAACTCGGGGGGATAAGACAGGGACCCCATGTTCAGAAAATTCGAGCTGCTGTTCTCATCTAGGTATGTGCCAAGTCTCCAAAGATTGCTACCCACAAGCTTTGGACCCAGAGTTGAGGGATTGGGTTCGGGAATATGTACGGAGTTCTATGAGGACGATATGGGGATTACTACGAGCTATGCGCCAGTTGGAAGTTTCACCCTCAGGGACGTGTTGCCGAACATGGTGGCGTGCGTTTAGGGAAAAATGTGGGTGGATTTGCACAGGAGGCAAAGTCCACACAGTTTGAATGAGCCCCGTCTTAAGGCCTCATTTTAGATAATTTTGACGGCAGTGCAAATTTGAGGTCAAGCTTTCCAAAGGTGCTAAGACTCCAAGAGAGGCAAAGTGTCTAGATTGTAAGGCTTCTCTGTGGATTTAGGGTGCAGCTTTGCTTACCAGTCACGGACCCTCAAGCATGGACCGCGGAAATCAGCAGTCTGAAGCAGTAGCCCTAACGCCCTCAGGGCCGCAGTCTACAGCCTCTGATGGCCTGCGATTCAATGTGTGAACGTTTCCTTGGAGACTTCAAGACGTATTCGGCCATTGCCTGGGCTACACACAGAATGGCAGATAGTGCCAGGAGGTGCACAGTCCCAGGGCGGTAGCGCCATACCTGGATTTTCAAGAGGGAGTTGAGATTTGGATGCGTGCCCCTGCTTTACGGGGACATTTTGAAAGCTCACCGATCATATTGCTTGCACGAAAGCATTGTGGAGCTCAAAGTGGAAGCTCGATGAGGTGTCCTGGATGTTTGGGGTATATTGTGTAGGGGTAATTAAGACCACCGGATGTTTACCTCCGGATTGGAAGGCACGTTTTCGTGCTGACTCGACGAGGTGGGGAATGTAGAAGGTGAAGAAAGCAGGTACATGTATTCAGAGTGCAGATCATTACAAGTCCAACCATTACTCTGAAGTCTTAAGGTTAACCCTAAATCCTAAACCCTTGACCTATGTTTTTCAACTTGAGGATACCTGCCTAGTCACTCATTCCAAATGAGGTGTGGCTGAGATCCAGGCACCTTCCAAGACAGGCTTGCTAGGCCATGTGGAACATGAGACCCTCATAATTCTGCCGTTCAAATGGCGCCTGGCTACACTACAGTCACCTCAACAGGGGGCTGTATTGCAGATTTAGGAAGGTTTCTAAGGGCTGATAGCGTATCCTGCTTAGCGGCAACTTCCGTGCGCAGCTGTTTTGGCCCCTT